CAAGATAGTACTGATTGGAAGCTACCTCTTGCTAGCTAGCTTTGATTATACTTGAAGATGCTCTTCAGGCTACTGGAGGAGAAAAGTCATCACCAGTCTTATAAATCTGCGAATCCTACAAACCACAAAACTGATCTAGCAAGATATGCCTATGACTATAATAATGGTACAAATGTTATGGATGTAACCAACTGCTCTCTTTATTTCCTTCTTTCTCTCTTTCTTTCTTTCTTCCTTCCTTTCTTTCTTTCTTTCTTTGTTTTCTTCCTTCCTTCTTTCCTGTCTTTCTTTCTTTCTTTCTTTCTTTCTTTCTTTCTTTCTTTCTTCCTTTCTTCCTTTCTTCCTTTCTTCTTTCTTTCCTTTTTGGCTTTAAGGCTTATTCCACAGGAGAAAACTCATGACTAATACATCTGGCCATGAACCTAGGAGTGAGTCTCCTATTATTTTACTAAGTAGAGATACTACCTATCACACTTCCTTCTAAGTACTTATATCTACACCCTTTATTTAGTGCAACACTCAGTCCTCATCTGAGAAGTGACTTCATAATAAATTCAAGTTCTTGAACTTAAAAGAGTAGAGTTGGGAACCCATCCTTGTAACACCAAAGTTCATTTGCTGTTTGCGTCAATACTCCTTCCTCACTGTTTTTGTACAGATGACACATGAGAAACAAGTAAAAAAGAAATAGGGAAGACTGTCTCACCAACATTAGCAAGAAATCTGTGAAGGATGGGGACTAATTGTCCATTGCACAAAAGACAATCATGATTGTAGAGGAGAAAAGTCAGGCATTCACACATAATAAAATGTAGGAATGCATAACCTTTCTATACCAATGCAACAATAATACTTAGAAAGTAATTCTCTATCACTTGATTTATGTATAACAGGCCTGAATTGAACATCCACCTTTCTACAATCACCTCAGTGTCATCTCTGGTCTGTGTCAACATTGTTTTCTCACTTCCACTTATCTTTAGGCATTTTTTTCCAGTCTGTTTCAGTCCCTCAGCATGGATTTTTGTTTTAAGTTCCCTTATCAATAAAAAGGCTCCACTTTTATCAGATAAACGTAAAAACTAAACTAAATGTTAAATGTGAGAGACAATGGGTCTCTCTTTAGTCCCATAACAGAGTAAATGAAACTACAAGAAATAACAAAGAAGATAATAACAACACAATGACCCTTCCCAGGTATTTAGTTTAGTTTATGCAAGATTATTTTGTAAACATAAGATAGGATGAATATAATTTTCTTTCTTCTCAAACAAATAAATGAGTAATACTTATCAATAGGGTCCTCATTCTTTACACTGCACATTTATGCCTTCTGGAGAAATCAAAATAATAGAAGAAAGGACATGAGTTTTCTAAACATATTGATCTGGCAGAATTTTAACTATTTCATATTAGAGAAGTTATTTAATATTAATAAGCTCTAGTTACTTTGCTTTTAAGTAGGTAATGGTGACTTATTTATAATTATTTTAACCCATATATAGCTGTGCATATGAGGGTTTTATACATATATACAAGTACAGTGACATCTGAATGCAAAGCACCGTGGTTGGCATAGGCAAGCACTGGGTGGGCTGGGGTTATTTTTTCAGTCAGCTGCTATATTATCTTTGCTTTCAAAGTCTTGCCCCCAGTGATGAACGTTACTGTTCCCTATGTCATTGGGCCCCTCGGATTTATCAATATGCTGAAAGAGAAGACTGAAATGACTACCACCCACACTAATGTTCTCGACTTACCAAATGCTATCCTTGATTAACTAATTAGAAAGAAAACACAAGCATCCAAGACTATTATTAGTTATCATTGTCATAGTCACTAGAAGAAACAAGTATTGTCTTATTTTCTATCAACTTGGAGGGAAATGTTTTGCAGAAATAACTCCAATGAACTGAACACAAAGCCATCTATATAAGAACATCAAATGCGTTTTAATGGATATTGTGTATTTTTCCAAATAATTTTACTAAAGAAAAAATGCTATTTTGGAAGCTAGCCAATAAACTAAAAGCTCACTTTATTTCATATCAGCAACTGAACTAAATACTCCAAAAAAGGAGAAAAAAATATCTGAGATAAGGGAATATAAAGTGAAGCTTTCCTTGTGACTCATCCTTTGTAAATGTAAGTAAAGAAATATTTGGGGCATATGTTTAAAGTGATGGCACACTTTAATCTTTAAAAGGAAAAAAAAGGAACATCCACTACTTTTAATGTTGCATCTTTGCGTTCCAAGTCACATGGAATATTATTCTAGTTTAGAAAACGGGACCCCAAAACATTAATTGCTGCTTAAGAAAATCTAAATTGTTTATACTCTTAATTATTATATAATTTTTAAAAATCTAAAAATGATAGAAGTCACTCTAACAATCATCTATTAAAGTGAATCAATGTGTGTGCTTGAATTAAATACACTTTTAACAAGTCTGAATTCTTAAAATGCATAAATTCACACTAGCTTTGGGGAGTTTATATTTTAAATTCCAAAAATATAACCCAGTGAATTGAAACACACCACAAATAAGAAAGCATCTGTATCCATCAGAAAATTGATTCCATAGCACCTAATTTTTACATTAATTCACCATTATAGTTTTCACTGAAATACAACTTTACAATACCTAGTATGTATCTGATGGATATACACACAATAATGTAAAATATGTCCTAAAGCATTAATTTCATACAGTGCTGTAACATTTCATTACCTACCTGAATAGTCCAAGCAACACAGAAAAATAAAATCAATATACAATAGCTATTTTACTTGTCATTTGACAGAAAGATTTCAGTATGTCAATGAAGTCAACTTTAAATTCTAACTTACATTATTATTTTTTATGTTTTTCAATTTTGGAAAACCATACATTTAGGGTCAGCCATAATATTTTGATATAAATATACAAAGTAAAGAATGACAACCCAGTTTTAAAGAAAAATGACAATATTTACCTATCATCAAATATTATTAATTCAGCTAGTTGGCTCTTAGCAACATCTCCAGTGAGGGAAATTATCATAAGCTAATATATCTTGATTGCAACAGCCTTTATTGTCTGACCACACGCATTTTGCATCAGGTCTATAATAAAAAGCTAAGTCACAAACAGAAATATCAGATGTCACACAAAGGGTCTACTATTCCCAGGCACAAATCAAGTTTTAATAACTCATAAGGTAATTTGAGGTCTTCCATTATATAATACTCCAGCAAGCACTTAAATGCTATAATGCTTTCATTGAAAAGTCCAGTTAGAATTCCTTAATATATGTAACATAAATGAAAAGTAAATCAAAGCAGATGTATAAAGTCCTTGATTTATGAAGAAACTATGGGAAACATTTGAGACTGGTTGTCAAATATTTATGTTACTGAGTTTGCCAACAGAGATGAGTTCTGAAGGGAGGCAACACATTCCAAATGGAGTGATCTCTTCTCTCAACCCATTCATAAAATGCCTTTCTGTTATGCAATGGGCTCACTCTGCTTGGTTAATGAACATAGACTTATGTTTAGCATTAATTAACCAGTTATACACAGAAAGAAGAAATAACATTGGTCTTTACTTAAAAGCTTAACTTGGTAAGTAGCTTCAACAGGGGAAATTTTCGTTTCTGAAGGGAGTAAGCCCAAGAATGTGATTAAAATGGGGAAATTGATAGTACAGTGAATGGCTACCTCACACAGGAATGCTGGGGGAAAGAGGGTCCTGGAAACTGAGCCAGTCAGTTGAGTAGGCAAATATCAAGGGTGGCATAGCTCTTAGATAAAAGCGTAGATATCTTTTCTATTTTCCTTTGATACTGGGACCCTAATTTAAAAAAAAAAAAAAAAAAGACTTCGGAGACACTGGCACTGGCCTCTCTTTCTTAATATGTCTCTGCTAATTTATGTGACTGAAAAATCCCCAGTTTACACCACTATCACGAACCTAGGAAGGCAAGAAAATCAAATCCAACAAGAGATGGTCTGTCCTGACTTTATTAGCTTGGGTTTTCCTTTTCCACACTCAGTCTCCTTACGGAACCCTAAAAGATACTGAACAACCCTATCTATATTTCATGAAGACATCCCCTGAGCGACTGGAGAAACCCTCTCTCTATTTCTCCCGAGACCACTCTTTCTTTGTAGACCCACCTGCATGGGCGCCTCGTGTCTCATTGTAGGCAAATGTCCTTTCTCTCTTGTCAGGACAGCGCTGGTCCGGGCGTCTGGTCAAGCGTGCACAGCCCGCGAGCGCGCTCCCGGCAACACTCGAAAAGCGTGGGGCTCCGTAGCCCGCTCCAACATCAGCACCGGAGCTGTCCGCTCCTGACTCGGCACAGGCGTACTGGCCACGAACCCCGTGCGCTTCTGGGAGTTGTAGTCTACTCTTAAGAGGCAGCTGTGCGAACGGGAAAACCGTGAACTACAACTCCCAGAGATCCAGCGGGCTTCCCTCGGGGTTGTCTCTCCAGCTGCACTGGGCAGCGGAGCCTCCCTTCTCCTTTCCAGTTACACGGGTTGTTATCTCTCTCAGCCTGCCCGACCATTTACTCCGACCACTGGCGAAAATGACACCAGTTCATCCCAAACAGGGACCTTCTCTCCTCGGTACCGCGTTTGCAAGCCAGACCGCATCTCTCTGGCTAGGAAACGCAGCACTTTGTTCTAATTTCCAACGCAAACGGGCGTTTACCTTACCTCTATCCTGAACCCGAAAAGTTGATACATACCCCGAGCGGAGTAGTTTTACAGTCTGATTCAACAATCACGCGGGAAAACGACGACGAATGGCACGCGTGTTAAGAAAAGCGGTTCATCGGCACGACTGCATTGAGTAGATCTTCAATCAAGCAAGCGCGAACACACACACACACACACACATACACACACACACACACACACACACACACACACACACACACACACGCACACACACTCCACAAAACCCAGATTTCTGGCCGTTCCCGGGAAGGCATTCCTCTCTGTTTACCTTTCCATACAGCTCCATTGCAGCGGGAGGTTCGGAAAGCCGCAAGTAAATCTTCCCACTCACTACAAAGGAGGTGAAGGTCTTGTGCAGGCGGCCGAGCACAATGGAAAGGCTAGGAAGGAGGAGCGGTTTGCGGAGAGCGAATGAGGGATGGAAGGGACAGCCAGCGGGTTCGGATGGGCGGCTTTCTTCTTCTTCTTCCAGAGAGGAGCACAGGAGTCTTCTAGTGACAGCTGCAGAGAAAGAGCCTGAGTCTCCTAGGAAGTGCCAGGGGCGCTCGCGTCGGGCAGCCCCTCCCCGAATCCTCCCGGCACACGCACACACACCACCTGAGGGCTACAGAGCTGATAGGGCACTCACTGGGTTATTTACCCAAAGCAAGTCACACAAAATGAACACATTCATCACCAGAGCCCAGGAGCGCCTTCACGGAATGAGATGGGAGACCTCGATTAAGTTACCCGGTCTTGTCTTTAACATGCAGCTCTCTTCCTTTATAGCGCCGGTCGCTCTCTTCCTGGACCGGTTCATAACATGGTTCTCGAGTCTCTGATCTGTTCGTTAGTTACATTTACTCTCTCCTGTCAACTTCTAGTATGTGTGACTCGTGTGTCATCCTTGGCTAGGGCAAGTCTTCTCCCCTTCAGAGTACAAGTTCATCATCTAGCTGCGACCCCCACCTTTCCGTGAGGTCAGATACACTGCACAAGAGGCAGAGGAAAAGAAGAAACCTTCATGATATTCTCATGCAGTCAGGCAAAGGTTAATTTTAATCAGCTTTGAACTTCATCTCGTTAGACTGATCAGTAGAAAGGACGTTCTGGAACTAAAACGTGCTGGGAACATCTTTTCGGGGTAAAAATTATCCTTCATATTCTCAGGCCCCATGCCAGAGATTCTACTGGGGATCCATATTTCCAACATCATCCGCAGAAGGTCTTAAGCAAGTAATTCCTTTGCTGTAACTCTGGCAACACTGCTTTTAAAGGATTTATATGAAAGACTTTGTTCAAAGACACAAACTGCAAAAATTTTCCTCTAAATTCTCAGTATTGAGATGATGCAGTATATACCTGATCTAGTAAAAATACTGGTGTCTTTTACTTTTTGTGTTTCTCAGAAATCTGTCTTCCAATCTCTGATTACTGAGAATGCAATGTGGCATCACCTAGGTGAATATTTTTATAACAACTTGAAAGAACATTTTTAAATGATCACCTCTTAGATGAGTTATTTGATGACTAGAGAAAATGAACCTGAAAATTAAAAACAGGACCAGTGTGTAAAGGTGTCTCCTGCCAAGCCTGATGACCTAAGTTCAATCCTTGGAACCCACACAGTAGATGGAAAGAACTGGCTCCAGCAAATTTCCTGTGACTTTCACATGTGGTTTGGGGTCCTCTTGAATTCACACACACACACACACACACACACACAATAAATAAATAAATAAATAAATAAATAAATAAATAAATAAATAAATAAATAAATAAATAAATAAATAAATAAATAAACAAAAATAATAACATGTAGTGAAACAATTTTAATTATTGTATTAATCATTGTTCTATGGCTTGCTGTGAAGAAACACTACCATCAATGCAATTCTTGTAGAAGGAAGCATTTAATTGGTAACTCGCTTACAGTTTCATAGGGTTACTCCATGACCATCATGGCAGGAAGCAGACAGACATTGTGTAGCTGGAGTTTTCTCCAGTCCTGTCCAGCCCCACAGCCCCCACAACTGCTTATAAAATAATCACTCAGAAGCTCATATTAATTAAACTGCTCGGCCATTAGCTCAGGTCTAGCTCTTACACTTATACTCAGCCCATTTCTGTTAATCTATATGCCGCCGTGTGTTCCGTGGCTTTACCTGCTGCCTTTACATGCTGCTCCCTGGCCGGCAGGCTGGCGTCTCCTTCCACTCTACCTTCCTGTTCTCCCAATTCTCCTTTCTGCTAGTCCCACCTATACTTCCTGCCTGGCTACTGGCCAATCAGTGTTTTATTTATCAATCAATCATCCACAGCACTTCCCCTTTTTCTTTTTTTTTTATAAAGGTTTTAACTTTAACATAGTAAAATTACATATAACAAAACAATTATCAAGCAAGAATTACAGTTACAATATTAAAGAAAATATCCTATCTGTCCTATATTTGTGAGTCTAAGGTTTTATATCTAACTTATCTTTTATCATAACTGAGGAAATTATAACTATCTAGCCTTGAACTACATCAAAGACCTCAGAAAGATATAATATTACCTGAGAAATGGGAGAAGGATGCAAGCAACTTTCGGGAGTCTTGCGAGAGTAGATGGAGACAGCTGGCAGCCTGGACAGTCATCCAAACTTTTTCTGTAAAGTTAGGGTGTCTGTCTTCAGCCCACAGGCCTAGAGTCTCTCAGTCACTTCTCTCTGTGTCCTGTAGAATGTCTGACAGTTTCCTCTGCAAAGCAGGAACCTGAAGGACCATTTTACCAAGCAAAGTTCAGTGGTCACCTTCCTATGGGTCCTGCATGACCAGTCAACCAAGCAGTCCAGGCAAGAACAGTTTCTTGCCCAAATAGCTATTTTTGCCAAGAAGAAGATAAATACCAAAAAGAGTGTCTCTGATGCCCACCCTCTCTGAAGTAAATTGGTGGTGCCAGAAGCGGACATGTCTCTTTGTCCAGAAAGTCTAAATTTTTAAAACATTTAAATCCCATATTCTGTAGGTCTTTGAAGTGTTTGAAGATTACCTGTTTATCTGAAATATATCTATGTATACCTAGAAAACTTAACTAACATGTCTACAAGTATAATTATCATAGATGACTAATTATTAATCTATTTTATTATCCATTACAATTTTAAATGAGCTGTAAAAACATAATACCTTAAACAAGAGTAGAAATATACACGCAGTATAACAAAATTAACTTTAAATTTGTATCAATAAACTAAAATCTATACCAATGTAAAACATTTCAAACAAGTTGTTACTCTTTAAAAGTAGGTTTATTAATCTACCCTTTAATCCTATCATATCTATATTATATCCCCTTTTTTATTTAGAAAGAGATTGCATTTATGATCAATGTGTTTTAAATAAAAATATTGTTTTTTCTCTGTCCCACACCAGGGAACTCTTCTGATATGGGACACAAGTATCTCTTAACCTTTTCTTTTAGCAATATGTCTGAGTTTAGGAAAGGAGTGAGCCAATTCCATATCTAAAGCCAGCTTGGTATATTTGAGAATTTGGGATGGCTTCTCTTACTACTTCCTGCTGGATGGGGGCACTGTATCTGATGAGGACACTAAGAAAATTTCAGGATTATGGAGTAGTCCATGAGGCTGTATTGTCTGAGCCAGTTGCCTTGAAACTATTCTGGATGTTGGATCATCTGGACTATGGTGTCATCGGAGATCTTTCAGGGGGTCTTGGCTGGTCAAACCTGATGTATCTTAATCTGGAACAAATCCATAACCTCTGGCTTTCTGTAGAAACAAAAGCAGAGCCTCCTTTCCAAAGCAACATATCCTTAGATCCAAATTTTGAAGTCAAGGTATCGTTAAAATATACATATTGGCTTAACTCAACAGCTTTTACAATCAAATTTTTTTGTAGTTAAAATTCCCAAAGACAACACAATCCAGATTCTCTGTGTAATATCCATCTTTATGTGGCTTATTTTTTATACTACCTTTACTGTCTCTTCAAAAACTTTATTTTTTAAAACTATCGATTTCTTTATATAACTGCATATAACTGTGAATATATATAATATATATTGTATATATATAATACATATATATTCTCTCTCAAGTCTACGTACATTTTTACACACATTATAAACTATTCCATCTGAATCTGTCTTATTGTGAACCTATTGCTTTAAATTGCAGTATTTGTAAGACTGAAATGGCCCCTGTGGGTCCACCCACCTCAGCTTCCCATCATGGTGGTGGTACGTTTACTGCCAGTTCTGGGAGCCATCAACTCTCAGAAACAATGGTTCTATGCTTCTATTAAAGCAGCGTATAGCCCAGAAACCTCTTTTTTTTTTGTACTAACAAAAGTTAAATCCACCACACAGCATAATGTGCCACTTGTAGATGCCTCAATCCCGCCATACTGCAAATCAAGAGTTCACACCAGAAACCCACCAAGTAGCTCAAACGTGCAGGCTGCCACTAACTTGAGAGAGACAACTAGGAAGCTGTTTTTAGCTCTGTTTTAGAATCTTTTTTCTCAGATTTTAGGTGGAAACTCTTGCCCCATGTTGGGTGCCAGATATTGGTTTAAATATTAAGGCAACTCCTCATAGTTAAAAGGGAGGTTTGTTTTGTGGGGTAACTTACAAGTGAAGAGATAGGTAACAGGGTTTGAGAAAGGTAAAGTGCAGTCCAATGGTGTTCTCTGGAGAACTCTGTTCTGTCTACCTACAGTGTCTAGGATCCAGGAACCAAGAGAGCCAGTCCATCCAGATCTCTGGTCTTCAGGGGTCCTCTTTCAGCTCAGCCTTGTAGGCATGACAGTTGCCGAAGCCTCATTGGGGGGTGGCACTTCCAGGTCACAGCTGGAACGGCTACCCACTACAACATTGTGTTGGAACAGTACCTGAGAGCTTTACATCCTGATCAGCAGGCAGCAAAAAAAGAAAAAAAGACACCATGCTTGGCCATGCATAGGTTTTTGAAACCTTAAAGCCTACATGATGGACTTCCTCCAATAAGACCACATCTCTTCCAACAAGGCCACACCTAACCTTTTCAATACTTCTCAAACAGTTCCACTAACTGGGAAACAAGCATTCAAACATGTGAGCTTGTGAAGGCTATTCTCATTCAAACCACCACAGTTAATAACAAAATGAATGGTAATAATCAATGTTTCATCATGACAGCTAACTACCAGAAGGACTTCTGAAAATTAAAACATATGTAAAGATGTATATCTTTTTAACATTTATTTATTGTGTATATCATACACACTGGTGTTCACATACCATGGTGTGCATGTTGAGATCAAAGTTTGCTAATTGAGATCACTGTTTTTTACTACCATTTCTTTGTGAAATGACTCGTTATAACTGAGTTTGAGAACCTAGAACCACTAAAGATCTTTGGAAAGTTAGTTCTGCCAGTAGTCTGCTAAAGGAAAAAAAAATGAGCTGGAGCTGAACATCTCTCTAAAGTTAGAGCACTTTGCTTTTACTTGAAATCAAGATGGTATCTGTCAGTCTTATGCTGGAGTACCAAATCAGTCTGCAGTCTAGTCAAGAATGAAATGCAAATTGAAGAGCAATGCCCAATTCCAGTGCTT